ATGATTAAGTTTATATGATGATAATGAAAAACAATATAATTGACTACAAGATGTTAAAGCAAATAATGTTGATGAATTAAAATGTAATTGAATTATATTTGTTATTGAAGAAAATGTTTGTTCAACATCTTGTTCATTAGTATATGTTTTTATTGGTGTTACACTCAATTGAGATTGAGGATCAAGACCTAAAATAACAAAAAAGTTTGTCAAACAGTTAGTTTTTCATTTTCATATTCCATTTTTCTTTATTTAACATTATTATTCTAGACATTGATTTAACTAGAGATATACAACGGTGACGGTGCATCATTTATCGACACATCGTATTGCCAGTGTTAGAGGCCGTCGAGTTTCAGTCGTCGAATACAAATAAACCGGAACAAAAATATCTCGTATCTTCGAGACGGCTATCCAATCCCGATTAGAAAATTTTCGTTAGAGTATCAACGCACGGTTTGACTGGTGGCACTGATCTTATGTACAGTTTTGCACTGGTCTAAAAATTTACGTAAGATATTTAGGGAACTGCGGTTTCACGTTTTCGCGGACCTGAATCTGTAACTCCCTAAGGCTCTTTTAAGAAGATCATATAGCGACTGTGGTAAAACAATGTGTCACTACCCATTATCCTTTACATCAATTTTTATTTGCAGTAAAAATAAACAACTATATCACATTCTTGTTATGCGAGTTACTCAATGACCGTTAGCATTCTCGCTTCCTCCTCTATTGCTATGAGAGTGGAGAACCCCAAAACCTTGACTTAAAATTTACATTCACTAAATTTTTCTTCGAAAAACATAATTTAAATTTGACAAAAGAAAATCCATGAGGAGTTTCTTTTTTTTTTGATAAAATTCTATTACCTTGAATAACATAAACATGTAAACCAATAGTATCTCCCATAGCAATAATAATTTGTTCTTCATCTTTGATTTTTTTAATTTTCATAGCAACAGTATCAATTCTAGCTTGATGTTTTGTTTTAATTTGAACAAGGTTTTTTGGTGCACGTTCAAGTATATCTTCACCATATTCATTTATACCACCTTCTTTTCCTAATGACCATAATTCAATATAATCTCGATATGTAAATAGAAAATAATTTCCTTTTTGATGAATTTTATTTTGATGTTGAGTAAAATTAAAACATTTTCGCCATAAAATAGGTGGTTTAGAATTATCACGAATTATATCATGAACAAGTAAACGTGCATCAAGTCCACCGGATATTAACATTAATTTATTACTTAATTTATTTTCTTTTTTACGTATTGTTGCAAAACGTGATGGAATTAATGTTAATGAACGAACATCATGTGTATGAGAATGAATTGATATTGTTTTAATCCATTGTTTTGTTGAATCATTTGCTGCTGCTGCTGTTGTTGTTGTTGATGATGATGATGATGATGATGATTTTGGTGATACAAGTTCAATACGAACAATAACTGAATCAACACCCGAACAAAATAATGTTTGTTCATCAGATGATAATGTCATACAAAGAACATCAGCACGATGTGTTTGAAATGATCTAAGAGATATCAACTTATGAGATCGAATATTTCGATTTTTAAAAAAATCATTTTTTTGAATGGTAAATATAAGTTTAGAGTGGTTGTATGTTTAAGAGAGCGTCCACGGGGGGAATCAAAGTACTAGTCAAAATTTAGATTTTTGATTTTATTTATGTGCATTCGAAAGGGCATAGTCGAAAATCACCAAACGCAAATTTTTAGCTCATCTGAATGTACTATAGTAAAGAGTTAGCCAATATAGACTTCTGAGCACTGTCAAGTTATTATCAAAAAGCATTCGATAAGTATTTATTAGGATTATGGCTTAACCAATGAAATATTTGTTTTGTGCAATAAACTAAAAGATAGAAGATTGATTGCTGAAAAAAAAAAGCTAATTAAATTTTTCCATATAATCTGTTCACTAGATTTTTGTAGTCCAACATGAATGAGAAATATTACAATTTACAAGTTTAAAATGGTCGATTTTTGATAGTATATCGGCTGGCAATTTTCGAAATAAAATGAACCGAAGGTAGATTTTATATATATATTATGTAGTTTTTGATTCTCTACAAAATGGTAAATAAATATCGAGAAAAAAGTTTACGTTCGCGGTGAAACAGCTCACAAATTTCTTTTTCATAGCGATTTTCATTGACAAGACACGATTGTAAAATTCGGAATCAGCGTCAAAAACTAGATTGAATTGAATAAATTGTAGGCCAATATTTTTCCTTTGAAAAACTGACGCCTGAGAAACCACAGGTAATTTGGATCAGGAAACAGATTTGCCTAGAATTTATTCAATTCGATGTAATTTTTGACGCTGATTCCGAATTTCACAATCATTTTGACTTACAATCGTATCTTACCAATGAAAATCGCTAGCTAGGAGAAACATGTAGACCCTGTTTCACTTCGAAGAATAATTTTTTTTTTCAGATATTTTTTTTAGCATTTTGTAGAAAATCAAAAGATACGTAATACAGTACGAGACAATAAAATTTTTCCTGCTTTATTTTTAAACATACTATATATAGGAAGAAAGTACAGAACGAAATGCATCTTATGATATATTCAGCTTGAACAACAAATAAAATTTAAAAGATAAAACGTTAATTAGAAAAAAAAACAACACTATTTTTTTTCTAATTAACGTTTTATCTT